TATATATATATAGTAGTTAGGCAGTATATTGTCGATAATGTTTTAAATTAATCCAATAAGGGGGTAACAACGGTCAAACGCTCGTGGGGGTATTTTCCCGCGTAGCTGCTACCGCTGCTGCTGGGGTTAGCGGCTGCCGAGAAAGGTTATATTGCTGTGAGCGGGGGGAAGCTTGATTCATTGGCGTTTTACAACGCTCACATATACTACTTATCCGGATTACTATTACTATCGCTACTCGGTTGCTCACACGCTGGCAGTCAGTTACTGAGCCATCATCGTCATCAATTTGCATAGTTGAATACAGTTTTGCTCGGGTAGTACCCACCCATCCAACAGAAACCTTTTAACACTTACCGATTTGGGGAACGTCGTACTCGTGTGCCCCTCGCGGCGCTCGGACACCTGTTGTCGGGATCTGTGGGTTCGAGTGCTCTGGATGTTCTCCTGCACGCCTTGAGCCACGCTTGCTCTTCCGCTGCTGCTGCTGCAGGTGCTTTTGTCGTTTATGCTGTTGCTGCAGGCGACTGCTCGCGCTAGCAGCATTTGATGACGAGGCCGCTGCGTAGGGGCTCGTGCTACGTCGCAAAAAGACCGTCGTGCCCGTGAGGGGTGTCAGCGAAGACAGATGGGTCTGGCTGTGCGGCAGGCCAATGTGACGGAGCAACGCCTGTGTTGATACGGAAACGGCAGCTGGCCACCAAAGTGAACGGGCTGCACCTCGAGTGGTACTGTGCATCGCATACGTACCAGGGCTAACATGACCTTCCTCGATGCTGCTGTCATCGCGGCCGTCTCGGCTCGAGCCGACGACACCGTCACCATTGGCGCTGACCACTTGCGGAAACGACAGACATGCGAAACTTACAACAGCTAGCAATAGCCATCGTGCCACCGCCGATGCTATTGACACCTGGCAACAAGCTTGACTTCTGCGGCAGCCACGACTAACCCCAGCTGCTGATCGAATTGGGCTGCACTTCCCGGTGTTCAGTGGCCTCTTTGCTGCTGCCCCAGCCGCCCGCGCTGCCGTCGTCGTCGTCGTTGTTGTCGTCGTCGCTATTATCATAAACCGTTGCGTAATAGCCACTTTGTTGCTTTTGTTTCTGTTATTATTATTTTTATTATTGCCGGTAGTGCACATTCTGCCCGTTGTCGAAGGCACAGCAGGACTGTCCCTATTACTGACGACACACCAATTTGCCCCTACACCCACGAATTAGAATGGTACATGTAATTATTTGTATAAAGGTATATAGCACATAGAAAGTACACTTTCGCCTACTGGTAATCGACACGGCTGTGCTTGCTTAACACTAAGATATTCAAATATGAAGATATATCATACGTATGTCGTTGAATTGACGTCAGTACTACTTTAGCGTGAAGAAGCACTTCGTTGTTACTAACTTCGTTTAGCTTCACCAATTGATTGACTGAGAGAAACGACAAATCGACAGGCCAGCAGACTATGGACTAAGCCACGGATGAATTGACGCTCTGATTCGTTTGCAAACGACAAGCTCAGTTATTGACGACGCTTCCACTGCTCCTTTCAGCTAATAAAGTGAATTTCTTCTGCCGGACAGGCATTAGGTAGACAACCGATTTTACAGTGTTGCTGTTGAAAGTTCTTGGCCGACGGCTATGCGAATCCGTCAAAGGATATTAAATCTGAAACTAGGATAAATTCAAACGACAAGCTGCAGGTCAGGGTAGAACAGCTTGGAGAATACTTCGGAGTAAAGTGATCCGAAAGCGTCGTACGTTGTTCTACGTGCAACTGATTGATATTAAGACGAGCGTAAACGTAAGCAAGACTATGAACTGGCAAAAATTGCGCTTAATAAATGATTCCTTGTAATTTTTACTGCTCGGCAACGATATCTGCCATCACTTCTGCAATGCGCCCTCCTCGTTAGCTAACCTCCCCGCGGGTAGACGCCTCAAGGCACGGGCACTTGTTGGCACGCGCTGTCGATCGGCACGAGCGGCTGACAAAACTAGTACAATACACAGGGGTGCATACGGCGTCGAGAACACACACACTCACTCATGCGACTTCTTTTCGTTTTGTTACTTTTGTTCGTTGTTGCCCTGATAGTAGTTTGCGTTCTGCCCTGCACTGGAAACCAAACCGAAACAACTACGGGCCGGTTGCCGTACTCAGCCTGTAACGTGTGGATAACACTACGCAGGAATGTCACTTACTTCCGTCTCGAACTCGCTACTTGATTAGCTCAATGGCCACTTGTTAGTCCTGGTCGAGAAGAGGCGCGTGGGGGGTTGCGTTGCTCTCGTGCACGTCTTTCCACGTTCAGCGTGCGTGGTTGGCCTGCTGGTGCGTGATGTTGGCAAGAGCGCAGAGTGCTGCTGCTGCTAGCACCCGCCCGTCATGTGTCACACTTCGCTCTTCACTTCTGTTGCCGCCGCCGCTGCTGCTATTACACTGTTCGGTAGCCGTCACGACCCCCCGAGAACGGCAACGATGATGATGACGACGACCTCTTCCAACAGCGATAGCACCACTACGATTACAAGCACAGGCTGCCACGACAACCGTCACACTTCTCTTTAGTAGCAGAAGAAGCTACCATCAGCACCACTCCAAGCGTGCTGTGCTGCGTCCGGTGAGTGTATGCGTGTGCGAGTGTATATCTGCCTGTGTGTGTACGTCGCTATATCTGTGATAGCAGCACGTTCCACCCGTCACGGCGAGCACCACCGTGCCAGAGTCTGACTACTATATGTGTGTGTGTGTGTATATATATACATATATATATGAAATAGCGGGGGATAGAGGCGCAGCACACGGGAACGTCGTAACGTCTACTTGGGCCGCCGCGCTCTCTGGCTGCGGGAGCTCACACTGCACCCCCGGCGCGACGCTGCTGCACTTTCGGTTCAGAGTCTGATGACGTCAATAGCCGCCTTTCGCTCCATAGACGCCTCTTTCCACCATCGACATCTCCTTTCCAGAACCCACTAACTTCCCGCAACGTACAACAGCCGATGCCGCCCCCCTCCCCCCCGTACAACGGCAACGTTCCCCTCGCCTGTTATCCCCACCGCCTGCTTGCACACCCAAAGCCCCCACCCACAAAGCTCAAGCAACGGACGGGAGAAAGCCTGCAAAATCAACCGCAGCACTCTTTCCGTAGCAACGCTCCTCAAACAATGCCCGGAGAACGGGGCAGTGCCCGCTTGCTTACTAACCAGTCAGTCAAGTAACCAGCCTTCGGTTAGTCAATGGCGTACAGAGTGGTATATATAGTAAGTCGTTAAGTCTTCCCTCCTCCTGGCAGTTGACCGCCACGACAGCTGCCTCCGCTTTTCGACACTTGTACAGCTCACTACTACTACTACGACTGCAATCACAAGAAGCACGACGACTATTACATCCTTCTACACATCATTCACTCGCCAGCTCATTGACTCTTTTTACCAGTTGCTCAGTTGACATTCTCCGTGCTACGACGGCTATTTCGTCGAAGACCAAGGAGTCACCGTCACCGTCGATGTTGCTGCCTCCAAGACAGCATGGCCTGTTTGCTTTCATCTCAAGGGCCCATTTTACGCCCTGAAGGATATGGCTATCAAATTGAGATTAAGGACATCTCGTCCTGCTGACGCCGTTTTGCCTATGGTTACCATCAATGTTATACACGTTTCTGTTGTGTACAGCATTCCGTTAATTGAAAGCCGCCGGAGCACATATCCCGCTTTGATGTAACCCGCACTTTTTATATCTGGATTTATATGGTACTGTTCTGTGAATGGGAATTGTTACTTGTGGTCTGAGAGATACTATATGAATGTCCTGATGGTGAAACAGAGTTGCAAAGCAGGCTTGCGCAACAGGATGCAGTACTGGAGGCAGAAATGAGGCTAGTTTTAATTTTTCTTCCCGGAACAGGGCACTTAGGCCCGAAAGCCATCCAAAAGAGGCGTTACGCAGGTTTTCTCGGTACGAACGGTTTCGCTAAAAAAAAATCTAGAAAAATAATTAGTTAACCAATCATAACGGGTGCGGTCGATATATATATATATATGGGCCGCTTATAGCTTTTCTGAGACGGTTGCACTGTATAACAAATCTTCAAAGGAATAGCTCTTAGGATAATGAAAACGGGCTGATATTATTAGCTGTTAGCATCGTAAATGAGAGCGGCGGCCATTTCGATGACTTGTACGCGACGTCTAATGATTTGGGTGATGCAGATGTAGTGAGCTATAGCTATGGCTTCAGTCGACGATTCGATTCTAAAAGGAATTACTGCAGATTAGGTACATTCTTCCTACATTTTGCAACCTGTAGGCAACCATGGGTGCGCGGCCTATATCTTTATGCCCTTAGACCTGCGATTGGTCTGACTCTTCTTCTATGTCATCAGTGGGGCGGTTAGAGGCACGCTACTTTATCCGAGATATAGAAATAAGACAGGAAGGAAAAGAGGCTAATGTAGAGGGATTTCGAAACGGTGCGTGACGGATTTGACAATGTCCTTTTTTAAGGCACAAGTTAACCCTTAGAATCCTTTTCTGTCCCTATTTAACCCAAGTAGAGTCTCCACTCCAGTTCTCACTCTTACTCAGCTCAATATCATGAAAGCACTTGGTACAAGGCCAGCGAAAGTGGCTACCAAAGTTAGTCATACCACTGAACAATGGTAAGCTATCATCTTATAGCACATTAAATAAATGGTATCAAAATTAGCATGCATACGATGGTAATCGGTTTGCCATTTTCTCCTGCAGCTCATGCGTCAATTGCAGAAATCCTCAAAAAACGGATTTAAATAACGGATGCGCTGTAAGCAATTTAACCTCATTAGTTTCACAACAGATATCCGAAGCGGTCTTACCGTGAACTTTCGCTCGACCAGACCGAGTATTATTTACAACCAACATGAAGTAATTTGCAATAAGCTACCCTTCTTCTAAAAATTCTTTACTGACGAAGGACCCTGGTTAAGTTGTGTTGTAGAACCGACACATTGCACACACACCTTCAGTCTGAAAATTTCGCTATGAATAACCTCTGCCTAAAGGCGAGGCATATATTTATGCAATAAAAATATAAGCTAGTTAATTGGATCGAAAGAGAATTTTCCCGACGGCGGCCATTACGTTCTGTACTATGCGATCTGCATTTCCCTAGGGAATCGGAGTGTATCCATACAAAAATGGAGTGCAGCGGAAAGCCATATACGAACAGTGTTACAAATGTACACCACAGATGAGCAACTTTGAACAGCGTTTAAAGGACAAAAACTTGAGAACGTAACGTTATGTAAACGATCGTCATATTTCTTATAATGCTCATCCATTTGGATGGCTTTAAGGGCTGATCTCGGTCAAACCGTACGGTTAATTTTCGAAAAATGCTACCAACCTGCTCCATTCGCACATGTCGACAGGTGCAGCTTGCGTGCAGGTGCTCAGTGAATTTTACCTAGCCTGTAACTTGACGGCGAGGCATGTTAGTAAAGTTCCTATCAATACGTGTATCACAGTTCTGTAATGCAATGAATCACTCATAAGCGAACTTCAACTTCTTGATCAGTTACGTAGAGAGACTACTTTAGAACGGCTTCGAATTTATAGGATACGGTGCTGGCGTTTGCCATCGCAAGCGTACCGAACAGCGTAAAGTGCCTATCGTAACGTCGATTGTTTTTCTTTATAAGATATGAAATTTTAGGGCTAATTTAAGGTTTCATTTGCTTTTTCGTAAGACGGATTCAAAAGAAAATTTCTATCTTAAGGAAGTATGCACATCTATTTAGAACTAGTTTTATTTAGGTCAGGTCTACTGGAATGATAGAAACTACCAAACAATACCTTACCGACAGTTGTGTCAACAGATGCTCGAGAAAACTTTTAAAACTTTATCAATTAGGTGAGTGTTAGAAATTCATCTAAAAAATTCTCGTTCTAGAATTTTGATGATAATATATAGTAATAATAACGTTTTTTGTGGACTCTGCAGCACAAAATAGGTATCCTTAAGGGTTCATTGCCTGATACAGATCACTACGATAAAGTAAGTCATTTATTAAAATAATAACCCCGTTCATAGACGTCGGACACCCTCAG